CAGAAATAATAATTTCATTTATATTCTTAAATTCGAATATACATTATATTGTAATCGCCAAGCAGGCATTAAATTGAGAACTATGAATTTAATCCTTACAATTCGATTTCGTTGACCAATACCCAGTGCCAAAAGGGCGGAAAACACTCACTGAAGTGTGGTGTGGCACAGGTAATTGCCAACCTTCCAAGAAAGCGAATTTACAAGGAGGGATCCTCCTCTAAGGTTTACTTCTGCAATTCCTCGGAGGACGGACGCCGGGACGGACGATCTCCATGATTGTTTGAACATAACGATTCGGGAGATGGGTGAAAAGACAATTCAAGTGGCCTTTACATCTCACAACAACACATCACTACATTAGATGGCCTCCCAGTTTAGAACTGGAACTAAAATTTGCAACACAATTGTTATACAGTAGAATTTCACCCATCTCCTAGACATGAACACTGACTGAACACACTCCTCCATCACAACACCCTCACAACATCATCACATGGAATAGATCAAGTCTATCCAGACTGAACACTACACATCATAAGATGAAGATGACATAGAGTCCAATAGTGTCACTTCACTAAAGATCTATTGTGCATCTTCACATTTACATATCCGGATAGCTTCACACACATAAGGATGGGAAGCTGATCCCATGACATAGCACACGCTATTCACCACACTCTGCCAACTCATGGAAAAACATTGGAAAACACACACACACACACACACACACACACACACTCTTCTCTCTTTCTCTCACAAAAATGCTCAAACTCACACTCAAGACGAAAAAACACACACTCTCACACCTGTTGTAAGGAATGAACAATCTCCATTCTTGAATACATTTAAGAATGTTCCAAGTCACTTCCTAGATTTGCAAAAGTGGCTTGCATTGGAAGATTCCTGAACAAACACTGATTGTTATATACATATTCATTTGTTGAACATTGATTGTTTTTATTACATGACTTCTTGTCAGAGAATCTATTTGATTGTTTTGAGTACGCTGACCTCTTGCTGCATTTCCTTTTTAGAATTCAGACCAAAAATATATATTTAAATATTGGATTGAATTGGATATTTAATATGGGACATCCTTACCATTCAATACTCTGAGAAAAATATGAGCACACTTGCTGAAAATAACATGGTGTTTACATTGAACATGACATGATTTTGTTTTGTTGCGTTCTAATGCATTTCTTCATGAGTTCAAGTTCATATGTGTTTCAATCGTGAAGCGGACATTTAAGATGCTTTTCAGACGTCTCACAGAGAGCCCATTCACCCACTGAGGTCTGTCCAGACAACCGCACCGCTGGAGGTGACAGGATTGGTCGAGAAGGGACAGATTATCGTTACGGGGAAGGTGCCAGGAAAACGTGTCTTCATGAAGGAACGACACGCCAACTGAAAAAGTCAAGAGGTCCAGATTGACTCTATGAACTTTGCTCACATCACTAGAAGAAAGCCTGAAAGCCTCGTCCACCTGCTGGACTCATGCTGCATACGCCTGATGAGAACAGGTGATCTGCAGGTGAACAAAGCCCTCTGAGCTTCTACAGATGCCAACATTGCCAAGAGACAATTGCTGAATTACACCAAGGATTACACCAAACGTCTTACTCTGTGACCCCTTAAGTGTCTGAATCTGACCCATGGGGTCAAGGAGGGAATCTGTAAGACTGGAAAAACTGGTTAAAGAGAAAATATCTGACCAGTGGCCTCTAAAGACAAAAGGCATTGCTTGCAAATTAACATTTGACACCCTACCCCCTATTCTCTGAACATCTTATCTGCATCTTCTCTCTTTCACTCTCTCAGTCAATGATACTGAAAGCTCACACAAGAATATGGTTTTAATGTGAATCTGATAATCTTTAAGGATTGTTTAGAATCATTTTGATGGTCTCAGGGTGACTGGTAATAATGTCTCATTCCCAAAGTAATAAAAGAAAAGGTAATAAGGTTTTTAAGAAGTTTAGGAATCACTGTCACACAAAGGAGTGTGGTCTTTGAGTTAACACCTTCTGCCTTGTTGTCTGAATGCAAATTACAACCAAGCAAATGGTCTGCCCCCGATAAACATGGAAGGGGGATTCAGTAACTTTCCATTGTATCCTGGTGATTTACATATCAGGTGAGGTCTGATTATAAAGGGAGATGTAACAAGAGTTCGGGGCTGCCTTTCTGTATTCAGATCAGCCCATGATGTTGTGTCTCTTCGAGGCTCAGCTCATGTCGCCTAATATGTTGGGTAAAGTTCTTTGTTCTAAAACATTTGATGGTTTGCTCTGATTATCTTGTGGAATTCTATACATTTACCTGACATAATAAATTGTTATATTTGGCTATTCTAACAGACTTTGACTTTATTTTCATTAAGTTAAAAGTAATAGTCAAGCATTAACATATTTAATGATGCACAGATATCATTGATAAACCCTTTTCATTTTATGGAGTCAGATGAAACGAGTTAATACATAAGATTAAATGTGTTGCATTTAATTAAAAAACACTTTGCTTGGAAAAGACGGAACGCGCTTGAAACCTTCACCACGAATCGAATTCCTCAATTTGGGTCGATTTCGTGGCCCTTTTTACATTACGTTAATTTCATTGTTAGTACATCTGGCCGTGAACGTGAAAACTGGCGTACGCCGTGTTTTTGTACGTACGCAGTGTTAATACATAAGGTCCCTGCTCCGCTGCCAGTTGGGCTTCTCCTCATACCTTTGTGCGTTACTACCGGCTGGATGTCACCAGAACCTCGGTAGCACATTCGGTTTTAGGGGTGGGGTCTTCTTAGCTCTTCCGTGTAACCGGAAATAAACCAATAAGAGTGAATGGGCCGGCTGGCCATCTTCATTTCTGTCACCAAACTTTTACTTTGTACCGCTCTTAGTCACAACACGAAGTCTGAGGTTCTTTTAACTGATGTTTAATGCTCTCTGGACTCAGGCATCAACACCGTAGAACTAAAAGGACGAATATACAACAAAAACATATATGACTTTAAACTCGTACATAAACAGAAAATACATACCACCTTTGCCTGCTTGTGAGCTAAGAGAGGGGGTTACATCTTGAAGCTTCTTGATTGCATGACTTATGATCATAATGATAAACACTTTAAACCTTGCAATGATTACATCGTTTAATATGATCAGCAGAATTGTAAACTCCGACCGCAGTTCTGACTCGTTCTTCCATGGCAAAAAAAACAAAAACAAAAAACAGGAAGTGACATACAAAGACACGATGGGTACAAAATAAAATATACCCATAAAACTCTTAGAAAAAATAATTATTGCTCAAATATACAACAGTTCTGCGCGCTTCTGTCTGTCTAGCCAGACTTGGTGCAACTTGGTAATCCATCGAACGGACGTTGAAGCCTCGCGGGAGCTGCCATCTTGTAGCAGAACTTCACTTGCTTCAGCATTCCCATTGACTCCCATCAGTGGCGTAGCCAGGGGAGGGGCCATGGGGGCATTGGCCCCTCCTGAAAACTGATTGGCCCCCCAGTGTGCCCCCACCCTTCTAATTGTCTGTCACTCAAAAATTCAAATCATAATCTTTCAGCTTGTAGTAGAATAATTCATGATTCCGCGTCCGCGCGATGCTTCTCAAAACCACACGGTAAGTTGATATATTTTATACAGCTTATTATTTTTTAAGGAAAGACGATGTGTATTCACCCTGCTGAGGGGAATGTGATAAAGCCTGGAGTGGAGCGAAAGCACGTTCCTCTCTCCACTCTAAGCATTCTGTAATCACTTCGCTCATGGTCCACTCCGGTTTTTCAATTCCCGCTCACGGAAAAACTGCTCCATGTTCACTCAATTAGTCTTAGATTTTGAGAAGTGCATGTCAGGCTACTGCTCGCTCGTTTGCTGCGGTCGTATGATAGAAAACAGAACGCGGGTCAATATTGGTCGTTTCTCAATACCAAGAACGCAAACTTCGGAGAACGAACTCCCGAGGACGAGAGGACGCGAGTCCGGTCATTCTGCTAATGGAATAGCGCGTTCTTGATCGCGTCACTCAGCACGCGGCTACTCCGGTTATCTCTTATATGGTATAAAACACAACTTTGCTTCTTTTCATCAACAATAAAACGAAATACATATAAAACAGCACTCTGCCTCATTTAATTTATAAATGGACATATTATCATGAACAGATTAATGGCCACAAAAATGTGGTTCAGGTAGCCTACTCACATTGACTATCTTCACTGCATATATTTATAACACGAAATATAAAACACAACCCTGCTTCTTTTTGTTTTCATTTTAAAAATGTGAAACATTATTGATCATTAAAACTGACATTTAACAAACAGACATGTATCGTTTTATTGTATTACACACAGTGAAGAGAATAGTAAAAACATATTGTAACAACCGCACGAACTTCAAAGAAGGCAGAGACCAGCACACAGATGGCAATTACGCACACAACTCTTTATTAAGTGCTAAAATACAACTTCATCTGTTAAAACACGTTACCCCCCTTGATTTAGGTTGTAGGCCGGCCTATTAGCCCGAAGTCAGATCAGTCCACGTCCGATGAGGATGAGAACGCTTTACCAGGCGCACACTTAATCGACCGCGATCGAAGCAGTCCACATTCAGTGAGGAGGTTGAGACACTTTGGTAGGCGCAGCACTTGAGTTGTCACATCGGTCAGGAGCTCCCCTATCCTGGACCATATTCAAAACCCTAACTACCTAGCACAATCACCCCCCACTAGCTGCCTATCTTCACCGCCGGAGACACTAATTATCCCGAGCGGCCGTCTAGCGTTTCCCACAAGCGCAATACTCCAAAACCATCCCTTAAATAGACCTCGACTCCTCCCATATCAGCTGTACACATTCATTTAATTAGACGCTTCCATTCATTCTGATTAAGGGGCGTGCGTATTAATCCCACTCGTTTCCTTAATCATTACACTACCCCCCTCCCAGGCAAAAAGGACTCGTCCTCGAGTCAAGCAGATAAATCATAATCCATCAACCGGGCCGGTATCTTCCTAGCCCGCGACCCCCGTCCTTCCGTAAATCCATTCGTTGTCCCAGACCGCGACTCACGGACTACAGATTCACGCGGTACAGCCACCTCCACTGCGGGGGCAGGCAGCAAAGTGGAAACAGAAGGCATCACAGCCTTCAACACACGACCAGAATGCAATACAGGGTCAGCCAGCAACGCAGAGTCAGGATGCAGCGCAGGGTCCGCCAGAAGCGCAGAGTCAGGATGCAGCGCAGGGTCCGCCAGAAGCGCAGAGTCAGGATGCAGCGCAGGATCAGCCAGAAGCGCAGAGTCAGGATGCAGCACAGGATCAGCCAGAAGCGCAGAGTCAGGATGCAGCACAGGATCAGCCAGAAGCACAGAGTCAGGATGCAGCACAGGATCAGCCAGAAGCGCAGAGTCAGGATGCAGCACAGGATCAGCCAGAAGCGCAGAGTCAGGATGCAGCACAGGATCAGCCAGAAGCGCAGAGTCAGGATGCAGCACAGGATCAGCCAGAAGCGCAGAGTCAGGATGCAGCGCACTCCTTTCCCCAGCCACAGCCGCCATTCGATCCCCCCCGACACTCTGCAATCCCGGCCTTCCTGAAAATAAATTACAAACATATGGCTTAAGACGATTAAAATACACGACTCGCTCCGGCCTTTCTTCTTCTTTCGGGACTATTCGATACAAAACATCCGTAACCCGCTCAATGACAACAAACGGCCCCACAAAATGCCTTTGTAACTTTGGACACAGCCCCCGCTTACGCACCCTACTTTCCACCCACACCAATTCCCCTTCCGTATAAAACTGACGGGAAACTTTTAGATCAAAATATTGTTTCTGCCTTCCCGATGCTTTCAGCTGATGTGCTTTCACAGCCTCCACCACCGTAGACAAACTTTCCGCTACTTTCTCCACATACTCATTTGCCGAATCAAAACATTCCGTCTCCCCTACTCCCAAAACAACATCCACAGGCAAAACAATCTCTCGTTCAAACAAAACTCTGTATGGTGAAAATCCTGTGGTAGCATGTGTACTACTCCTATATGCCATCATAACATATGGCAGGAGGGTGTCCCAATTCTGCTGATTACTATCCACAAACAAAGACAGCATTGAAAGTAAAGTGCGGTTAAACCTTTCCACCATCCCATTCGACTGCGGATGATAAGATGTAGTTCTTGTTTTATGCATCTGTAACAAAGCACACAACTCCGTAAATAACTTTGATTCAAAGTTTCGACCTTGATCAGAGTGAATGCTACGTGGGACCCCAAATCTGCACACCCACTCACGTACCAAAACTTTAGCAACGGACTCTGCTTCTTGGTTTGGAAGTGCAACCGCTTCTGTCCACTTTGAGAAATAATCCCCAATTACCAGAATATACTTATTCTTCTCTCCAGTTACGGGCAAAGGGCCCAAGATATCCAACGCTACACGCTCGAAAGGCCGAGAGACAAAAGACGGCTGCAACGGGGCACGAACGTTCCCTGAGGATTTACGAGATGCGCATTCCGTACATTCCCTACACCACTTCTTTACGTCCTCAAACCACCCGGGCCAATAAAACCGATCCTTCACTTTTGCCTGCAATTTCTGCACTCCTAGATGACCCCCCGTAATAGAATTATGCAACATTCCCAAAACCTCTGGAACCATCACCTTCGGAAGGACCACCTGAATTTTTGATGCAGCATCTGTATTAAGGGGTGGTTTACGCACTAACCGCCCTTGCTCAAAGTCCAACTGATCCCACACGGGCAGAAACCCTCTCATTTCCACTTTTGTCTGTGCTTCCACGCGCCCCTCCTCCCCCCGCAACCACAGCTGTTCTACAATCTGTAAAGTCGCATCTTTCTTCTGCGCCCCCACCAGCTCATCCTCAATCTCCCCCGAAGAAAGCATTTCTCTTACCGCACAAACCGAAACGCCCCCCTCCAGACGTGAATCTGAAACGTTTTCACACTTAGCGCCAAATGATGGCACGCGTGACAGCGCATCCGCGTTAACATGTTTATTTCCCGGGCGGTGAACGATTTTATATTGAAAATTGGACAACTGTTCAATCCATCTGGCCAGCTGCCCTTCCAACCCCTGAAAATTATGGAGCCACCTTAAGGAGCTATGGTCAGTGCGTAATATAAATTCTTTCCCAAGCAAATAATGCTTGAAATATTTAGTAAATACCACTAAACTAAGCAACTCCTTTTTCGTGGTCGCATAACGGCGTTCCTGTTTCGTTAACGCTCGACTCGCGTATGCCACGACCCGCTCCAAGCCATCCATCTCTTGTGACAGCACTGCACCAATGCCCATGTCACTCGCGTCAGTATCTAAAATAAATGTCTTGTGCGGGTCGGGATACGCAAGAACTGGCGTTGTCACCAATGCGGTTTTAAGCTGTGAAAACGCCCGCTGGCACTCATCCCCCCATTTAAATTTCCGACCTTTCTCAGTTAGGCGATGTAATGGTCGCGCAATTTCAGCGAACCCCTCAATAAATCGCCGATAATAAGATGCCAACCCCACGAAACTCCGAACTTCAGTTTGATTCTTAGGTACCGGCCAATGTCTCACCACATCTATTTTAGCTGGGTCCGCTCGTATTCCCTCAGCCGATATAACGTGCCCTAAATAACGGACTTGAGAAGCAAACAAAGAACATTTAGATGGTTTAACCTTCAGGTTCGCGTGGCGTAATTTACCGAGGACCTCATCCAGCCGTTGTAGATGTTCCCCAAATGTTCTCCCAAAAACAATAATATCATCCAAATAGACAAGGCAAGTGGTCCACTGTAAATCCGCCAACACCAAATCCATAAGGCGCTGAAATGTACTTGGCGCGTTACACAGCCCGAAACTTAAAACATTGAACTCGAATAGCCCCTGCCGTGTTATAAAAGCGGTCTTATGTTTGTCTTTAGGGTCCACCTCGACCTGCCAGTATCCACTGGCCAGATCGAGGGTGGAAAACCACTGGGCATGAGCAAGGCTATCCAACGCATCATCAATACGCGGTAAGGGATACGCATCTTTCCGCGTTACATCATTCAACCGCCTATAATCAACGCAAAATCGAAGGGTCCCGTCTTTTTTCCGTACCGGGACCACAGGCGCGCCCCACGGACTACACGATGGCTGTACAATTCCCTTTACCTGCATATCTTTAATATGCTCAGTCACTTCATCTTGCAGATGAAGAGGAACACGACGCGGGGGCAATTTAATAGGTTTAGCGTCCCCCGTCTCAATCTGATGCGTTATTAGCGTTGTCCGCCCTAGATCTGTGTCATTTAGACTAAAAACGGACAAATTCTTACACAATAACTCGCGCACCGCGCGCGTTTCAGCCTCCCCAAAGCCCCTTTCATGTAAATTTAGCCGCTCTATAAGCGCATCCACGGAGCATGTAGATGTATTATCCCTAGCCACGTCCCCTCCCTCTACCACCACATCAAAAAAATAACTTACCCACTTTCATTCCACGCTTTAAAATATGCGTGTCATCAGTGACATTAATTACACGGATGGGCAGAATACCCTGTTCCACCCTGCACACTACCCTTGCCACCAAAAGGTCGCAATGGTTATAAAGAGAGGAAGACGGCTCTAACATGCCCTGGAAACTATCTGACGTCCCTTCCACCGCCCCTACAATCAAAACTTCACTGCGAGGTGGAACAGGTGTATCAACATGCACCATCACATCACAGGGCTGCATACCGTTATTGCCGAACAAAAGGGGAATTTGTTTGCCCATCACCCGACAGCTCTTTTGATCGAGATTAATAATAGCGCCATATTTTAGCAAAAAGTCAGAGCCAAGCAGAATTTCCTGGGGCTCCAAATCTGCCACAAGAAACTCCGTAATGAGAGTTAAAGAATCGAATTGGCATACCGTTTGCCAGCGCCCCAAAATCAACATCCTCCCCCCATTGGCTACTCGAACCACACCCTCATGACGTTCGAGGTGAGCCCCGCCATTCGTAATGGTCAACCACCTCTGTTTTGGGATTATTGAAACTTGAGCGCCTGTATCAATAAGAAGTTTGACATCACACCCACCTAATTTAGCAGCAAGGTATATCCCAGAATTGCCCTGGACCGATGAGGCCAACTGAAAAAAATTATCTTGCATTGGGGCAGGCATCCGGCCTATAGTGCCTGCCCCCTCCCGTTTCCCTGCACATAAGGGCAATCTCTCCTAATATGTCGGTTACACCCACATTCCCAACACCCGCCTCCTAATGGTTGCACCGGCCTTTTCCCAACCCCACTCATAACTGACGGTTCAACGACGTGATTTCTTACTAATGTGGGAACTGCCTCACGGAGTTGCTGCACCGATTTTTGTAACATCTGAACCTCATTACGAAGCGTATCCACCACCTCAGTCAGTGCATCTACCTTACTCTCTGTTGCAGAAATATGCAAACCACGCACTCGAGCATCAGGGGTTATCGTACATTTCTCTAACCCCTGAATAAGTTCGAATTCACTTGCAATATTAATTGCTTCTTCTAGAGTGATAGGTTTAATACTACGTAGTTGGATACGAGTCTCTCCGTTTCCCACATGTGCAATAAAATGATCTCTGGCCAGCAAATCCTGTGTATCTACACCTACTGAGGGATACGCCTTAGTCGCCAACCTCCGCAGTGCATTACCAAACTCACGTAAAGTTTCGTTTGGCAAGCGCTTGCGGGACGAGAAACTAACCCGATTCCACTCTGCAGTTTCACATGGCTCAAAACATTTACCTAAAGCATCTTTCAATAAAACATAGCTGCGCTTGGCTTCTAACGAGAGACCGCTATAAATATCTCGAGCGCGCCCCGATAATAAAAGTGCCATAAATTTCAGTTTCATTCCGTCATTCCAATTATTCACCACAGCTGCCATCTCAAACTGCTCCTTCCAATCAGACCATTCCCGGCCCGTGCCGGTAAAGGTCTCCGGCATAAACACCGGACGCGCCATAGGTACATTTGATGATGCAGCTGTGGTTAAAAGCGCAGTGCCAGTTGCAGAGGTAGATGGAGTAGCGTCAGACGCTCCAGACACAACCCGGTGCCCATCCCTGCCCTCCATCGTTCGGCTGTTGTATAATCGTTAGGGATTATCTCCCACCGCTGCCACCAGTGTAACAACCGCACGAACTTCAAAGAAGGCAGAGACCAGCACACAGATGGCAATTACGCACACAACTCTTTATTAAGTGCTAAAATACAACTTCATCTGTTAAAACACGTTACCCCCCTTGATTTAGGTTGTAGGCCGGCCTATTAGCCCGAAGTCAGATCAGTCCACGTCCGATGAGGATGAGAACGCTTTACCAGGCGCACACTTAATCGACCGCGATCGAAGCAGTCCACATTCAGTGAGGAGGTTGAGACACTTTGGTAGGCGCAGCACTTGAGTTGTCACATCGGTCAGGAGCTCCCCTATCCTGGACCATATTCAAAACCCTAACTACCTAGCACAATCACCCCCCACTAGCTGCCTATCTTCACCGCCGGAGACACTAATTATCCCGAGCGGCCGTCTAGCGTTTCCCACAAGTGTGAGCTCCCCCGGACCTCCTCTCGCAATACTCCAAAACCATCCCTTAAATAGACCTCGACTCCTCCCATATCAGCTGTACACATTCATTTAATTAGACGCTTCCATTCATTCTGATTAAGGGGCGTGCGTATTAATCCCACTCGTTTCCTTAATCATTACAATATTTTATATATTTTAGAATATATAAAATTACAACCCTGTCTCTTTTGTTAAATGTCAGTTTTAATGATAATATCCCATTCAAAAGTATAAGTAGCCTAATAGGTACGCTATAATAAGCTATACAATGAGAAATAAAGTAAACAATTCAGTTAAACATAAGTCAGCTCTCTAATGGGATACAAAGTTAAAGTTAAATAGCCAGTTAAATATATAAAGTTATGAAACTTCACTTTTCCCTCAGCCAGTTAGCATTGTTTGGTCTTATAAGATAAATAAAAACATGCACTGAAAAGTTATGTAGATGGTTGATTAGGCCTATTTGTCAAGATAAGTAATTGTTTTTCATAGATTAAAATAGCTTTTAAATTACGCAAACTGGCAATATTAGATCGGTTTAAAACATCTCTCCTTAAAACGCTATTGGTCTCGACTATTTAAATAAAGTTACAGGAATATGACTTGGCCTAAAAAAAAAAAAATCAGTCAAAAGAATTTTTTTAATTTAATCCCTGCATCCAGAAACATTCTCAAATAAAAAAAATATAAAAAAGATAATTAAATAAAAATGCATGATTAAATAGCAAAATAAATAATTACGTCACGGTTTCTATGATCCACATATATTACATTAAACTAAATCATACCTTTTTGAAAAAGTAGCTATCTAACAAAGTATTATATGTCATATTTTACAATCAATATGCTCAAGAGTCAAGACTAATTAGCCTTCCTCGAAATAAGCAGATTTGGTCTATTCATCAATGCAAATTTACTGCAACTGCTGAAATGCAAATTGAATAGGATTTGGGGGGAAAAGATGTATACAATTTTATTACAGTTTTATGAATTCATTAATTGTGTATTTATTATATGAATGATTAATATAATTATGCATTTATATAAATAAGGCTGTTCTATTATTATTTGTGAGTTGGACACTAATACATTGGATTATTTTATTTATTACAGTTTTTCTATCACTTTTGTAAAGTGAAAAGTTAATATAAATTGTATTTTATTGTTTTGATTTAGAGCAGTAAATAACTGCTATTAAAAGATAACAGGGTATCACTGTTTATTGCTGATTTTAAAGCTTACTGAACTTGAAATGATTTGGATATCTATAGTTCTACATAAATACACAACATAAGAATGGCCCCTCTGTAATAATTGTGGCCCCTCTTGTGCCCCCCAGTTGAAAAAATCCTAGAATCGCCCCTGACTCCCATTCATTTTGGCGTCACTTTGATGGCGAATAACTTTACATCTGAGGCGTTTGAAGACCCCATTTGTCCTTTATTCATTTCTAAAGAAACACGACAATGTATAAAATGCTCCATTACCTTGTAGCTTATGTTATGGCCCCGTAGAAGCAGTTTTAGTGAAAGTAGGCTAACGATTGCATCATACCCACCCGACTCTCTGTCGCACAGTAGAGAGATAATCATATGGACAGGAGAAGAAGCTCACACGCAATCGGGGAAACGTGGAGGCAAAATTACAAAATAATTAATCAGAATACTTAGCAGAATTGTCTCCTTCTCCTAGCTCATGGACAGCTCTTATTCACTCTCTCCACCTCTGCATGTTTCAGAAAGGGAATAATTCAGATTTCTCATGCCACATCCACTAGAAGACAGACGGGGTGCTCTCGTCACAGTACGTCGGCAAGCTCTGTTTGAGTCTGCGCGTCAGAGACGGGAGTGCTAAAAAATCGCCAAAAACGGGCTTCAATGGTCTCAATGGAGTTCCAATAAGATCGCTCTGTCCACTTCTTTTACTGTCTATGATATTCTCCCCACCACGGCGGAGCCAAGATGGCAGCGGTGTGAATGGTCACGTTATTTTAACCGTCCAAATAGCCAGAGGTTATTAAGGCTAACGAGATATGATTTGAATATGTAAAGACTCGATAATTTTTTGGCAATACTTGACTTGTTTTGACTTGATATAATGGGCAAAAAAAGGAAGAATCAGTCTCTTCAAGAAAGAGCTATATTAGCTGGACACCTCGTTGAAGAGAGTTTTATGGAGTCGGCCGATCTGGCAAATATTAATATTGAGACAGAAATGAAGGCGCCAATGAAGAGGTTTTTGCCAGGCCTGTTTCCTCTACTCCATCCAAGAATCCAAGTGCAACGAAGTTTCTCTGTCTACACGCCTTGAGGCGATACAGAAGCTAACAGTTAAAGTGGATGAAACGCATGGTAAGGTTTCTGTGTCGTGCGAAAAACTCGACAAATTTTCCGAGAAGGTCTCCCATATAAGTGAAGAGGTCAAGAGGCACGATGTCAAGATCGTTCAACATGAAAAGGAGAATAGGGATCTGCGAGCTGAAAATTCATGTCTAAAAGAAAACGTGGATGAAATGCAACGATACTCGCGGAGATGGAATCTTAAGCTACAAGAGTCCCAGAACACAAAGGCGAAGATGTGCGAAGCGTGACGATCGATATCCTAAGGAAGATGATCCCTAGTATCCAAAATAAATTGGATGATGTGGTTGATGTTGTGCACCGCCTCGGGGCAAAGGAGATCCGACGGAGCACCTCGTAACATACTGCAGGTGCGCAGAGACAAGGGCGCGATCGAACTGTGTGTGTGTGTGTGTGTGTGTGTGTGTGTGTGTGTGTGTAAGAGACACGCCGGTGCGATCAAACAGTGATCATTTTATTCATACAGGACAACATTCAGTCTGCAAAGTGTTTACTTATATTTGTGTAGGCCTATACTTGCATTAAAACACAGTTTTAAAAGCAAAACATATTTATCCAACCCCTGTTTGAAACAGTCTGTGTGTTGTTGTAATGTCTGGAGTTTTTATTCTGCCCAGATGAAGAATAGGAAAGACAGTGCAAACGAACTGGTAGTTCCACGAGTCCTTTTATAGTTGCTTTCTTTCAGTTAAGCACACTCTTCACATACATGTCGAAAAAAGGGGATGTTAACATGTTAAAGAAAACACTCTGTAAAACGCTACAAATCAAAATGGAAGTAAACGCATTATATCAAAACAACAGCCCGCGATAGATCAGTCATATTCTAGGGATGGCTGACGCGAAACAGACGTTCCGAAGCTTTGCGAGATCCCGAAGCGCAGATGATTCGAAACACTGATCCGAAGCGTGATTCAAAACACCCACGTCACGTGACTACGGCTAAATGAAGCTTCTGAGTGTTTCATCAGGTGGAGTGCTCCACCGAATCAGGGTTGATAGGTCGGTCGGGAAATATCACACAATGTCGCAATCACACAATATAGAAGTGAAGTCAACACATTTTCACATCGTGTGTTTTTGTGTGAGGTGTTTGGTTTTGAGGAAGCGTATTTTTGGTGATAGTGACATTTATAGTGCGATTTGTTTAGTTATATTTAGGCTTTAAATTTACACATTGACTGAGAGACAGACATAGTAGGCTACATATAGTGACACATTAACAGATGCATAGATAGAAATATATACAGGCAGAAAGATTAATAGACATTAATAGATAGCCTATAATATATATATATATATATATATATATATATATATATATATATACATACATACAGATTAATAGAAAGAACAGCAGAGAAATTAATATTTTTTGAATAAAAATCTATAAGAAAGTGAGACATTGTGACTTGATTTATTTTATTAATATAAATTTTTCATGACCAAAATAACATTAACCTATGCAATGTGAAAAGACTACAGGTTACACACTTCATATATTAGAAAAATACAAAAAAACAACACATTTTTTAATGGCTCGTTGTGAAGGTTGTTTCAGATCAACACCTGAAGTGACCTCTAGGTGTCGCCATGGAGACGGGTGTCAGATTGATTCAAAGCCTCAAAACAAAATGGCACATTTGCTGTTTCATACTGTTTCATTGCTTCACGAAATCTCGATCTGCCCATCACTATCATATTCCCCTTTGCGCGAGCATTCTCACTCTCACTGACCGTGTGTGCTCACATAACAACATCACACATACAATAACGAACGCCATAGAATAAGTCAT